AAACCTCAAGGCATCGTCAACATTCTTAAAATAAGCGGGAAGAACGGTATTCGCCTGTTCAGTACCACTGTGTTGATGTAGGGTTTCGAGACTTGAACAATAAGTAAAGCAAAAAAATGAACGGTAGATGAATGGTGAAGCGAATAATAATTAGAAAGTCTTTTCCTGGCCATATAAGCAGTCAGTCTTTCGGTTGGATGAATGTACGTTTCACGTACACACACGTGAAATCTGACGCAACTCCGCAACCAGAGCAGCTGGAGTGCTGGAACTTTCTGGGCGTTACCCAGGACCGAGTTTGATCAGCCGCGGACGAAGAAAGCGTTCAAGTTGCCGTCCACGTACGTGCACATGAAATTTGACGTAACTCTGTAACCATAGCAGCTGGAGCACTGAAACTCTGAATGTTACCCAAGGTCGTGTTTGAGTAACCGCAAACGAAGAAAGCATTTGCGTTACCACTCACGTACGAACAAGTGAAATTTGGCGTAACTCCGCAACCGAAGCATCCAGTGCGCTGAATTTTTTGGGCATGGATTGGGAGTCATTGTAATAATTTCTAACAGCCGTGGTGGCCAGTCTCAATTCTTTTAGCTAGAAGCATCTGCCCGGAAGAACGTGCCACTGGCGAAAAAAACCTGCGGGGGAACTGTGCAAAAAACGCATCCTCCTACCGGCAGCCGGTACGCTTTTGACTAAGTAATAATGCAGACTGGGCACTGTGTAGATATTTGATTTGTAAAATCATAGGTATGATTTGAGGCACAGATAGTTTTACGAATTTCGTTTTTTGAACTTCTAATCACTATAGTTTCTCTTCCATTCAAAGCCAATGGCTTGCGCCCGAAAAGGAAGGCGCAGAGGTTGTAATTAATGCTGCAGGCCTTCATACTTTGTCCCACGCCTAGGATTTTCAACGCATTAAGAAACCAAGCAGTGTAATTTAAGCTGTTCCTTTCGTTATATGCGTTATGCGAATATTCTCGTAAAAATTGCAGGATGGAGAGCCATCGTTATCGTCTATTAGTGTTGACGCTGCTGATGATAACGTTGATGTCGATGCGAACAGTAAAAGCGAAGAGAAGAATTTCCTTGAACCACTGACTGATTTGGAACTTTGTGCTGCAAAATCGCATCTTGAATTTTCGTTCGAGGACATCAAGGTATGCATTCGGTTTTTATTGAATTTAGCTAAGATAAATTCTTATGAAATTGTTGGGCCCAGTTTTATCAACAAAACATGCTTCAGTAAAACTTCAAACACTACAAGAACAAAGATAGTACGATACGCTTCGGCACCGGCACAACGATGAGGGATCGACCTTGTCGATCGCCCATGCAGTGCCGCGATTACAGCTTCCAGTGATAGCGCCGTCTTACCATTCCAGTACCCTTCTTGT